CCCCACCTTACCCCACAGATTTCTGTCTACGGAGGCAAGGCTTTTTGAAGTGCGAAGTTTATACATCGAAAACTTCCCATAAGAAAGGCTGTGCGCGACTCGCTTCAAGCAGTTGTCCATTGTTCTCTGCAGTCATGCTCCCAGATCTCCAAGACCACCACCAATTTAGCTTGTTTTTCAGTTCCCACAAGAAGAGATATCCTTTTATATTATTATTGTTTTATTGATATAAATGGCTTTATTCAATATTATATTTTAGTACGGTATAAAATTCTCTGTGTGCAACTGGGAAGTGACAGTCGTCCTTATACTTTTGTCAGCACCCGATATTATCTTCTTGGCGATCAAATCCCTTTATCAGCGCTTCATAATTCTCGTATCCCTGCGATTAACCTTTCTGGTATATATTTATCACCATGCGCTGCTAATGCTAATGATTTGAGTTCACGAAAAATTATTCCTGGTCTACTGAGACCACCATCTAAACTACATGTTGGGGCTCTTAATGTTCAAACCTTGTGTCAGATAGAACAACAGACTCCTTTGCTAGGACTCTAGAATCTCACGCCATCAATGTATGCTGCGTCTCCCAAATGCGCACACAGGAATATGAGTACGGTCATTTACTTGACCTCACCTTGTCAATATAAAGAACCGGGACGATTTACCGTTCGAGTATCTAAAGACCTCACTACTACGTCCTGTGGCCTCGGTGGTATAGGTACAGCATTAATTTTTAGAGCAGAACAGGTTCTGTTAGACTTGATTCCAATATATAGTTGCTTGTGCACTGTCCGACTAAACAGGACAATCAGAATTCAAAAAGGTAGGGGCACACTGCGTTATCTCTGTCTATGTTCTCACTGATTACAATTTGAATGAAGTTAAAGATGGATTTTATGGGGAGCTATTCAACCTTCTTAAAAAAGCTAAACGCTCTGACTCAGTAATATTGACAGGTGATTTTACTGTCCAAGTATGTAGGCTAAACCAAATCGAAAGGCATTCAAACAAACATTGTGATGTTGCTGCTCAGCGAGCAGAATGGCGGCCATCTGAAAAAATTGATATGGCTCTCTCTCTCTCTCTCTCTCTATATATATATATATATATATATATATATATATATATATATATATCAGGAACAATGAGAGGAGCTAGTCAACTGTGAAAATGATATCCACTCCGAGGTAACTGTATGATAATCAAGAAGCTTTGATAAATTCTAGTAACTTAAACGAAAAGTTTAGGAAAAACTAGTGGATTTTAGCTGCGTCTACAGAATTGATAGATGCTCAGTAAGCAGTCAACGTAATGATCGTGAGCAGTGGTGGGCAGCGAAAGCTGAATAGCTGGAAAAGGTAGCAGCGATAGATAACATTAAATAAATGTTCAGTTTTATTAAGGAAACTGGTAGTGAAAGTACTTTGGAAAAAGGCGTGCTATTTATCACTGTCAATGCAGGAGATCGGACCGATGGGCAGAACACTTAAGGAAACAGTTCAGCCAGCCTTTAGCTACGTTTCAGTTACACACTATCTCCAAGCTAAATGACATAAGTCCTCAAACTATCAATGAGGTCAAAAAGGCTATACGCAATATAAAGCGATGGAGAGTAACAGGGCGTGATGGACTAACTCCTGTGATTTTTAAAGATGGTTGTCCAGTTTTGGCAGTTAGATTGACTGAAATCTTAGCTAAAATCTGGGAACTAGACGTAATCTCATCTGACTAGTTTTGATTGATAAATATCCCAGTTTATAAGAACGGACAAAAATGGTCTTGTGACAATCGCAGGGGAATCAGATTGACTAATATAGTGTCTAAAATATTAACATAAATAATACTTTGATGTCTCATGAAAAGCAAACCCGAGAAAACCAGGCAAGTTTCTGACCTGGAGGTAGATGCATAGACCAAATATTTGTAGCATATTATCTTACAAATGATTCCTAAGGCTTCGTATGTCACGTGTCCTGACAAACGTTATCAGATAACTCCCAACAGTGTATACATTTCAGAAGACAATGCTAAGCATTGAATACAGTTCACTATCATACAGCGCAGTTTAATAAGCCACAAACTCGGTCGATGCGATTTAAGCCCATTTTTCCTGCTTTTTGTACAACAAACGTTTATCAGTCATCGCAACCAATTCAAACGAAGTGTCATAATTCTGCTGTAAAGTAGACTGCATTATCTATTCTGATTAATACATGAGTGCTACTATTCAGTTGCTGTGGTACGTATATCCGTCTTTATTGCTATCTAGGAAGCGTTATTTTGAAGTCATGTACGTTTTTGACGTTGTACGTATAGTTAGCAACATCAGTCGGAACAATTATTGAAGTGAAAAATTCTCTGGGCAAACGTAGGGTAGTTTTATGGACCAGCTCTGCTGAACAACAACCAATGTCCTGTTTGATCGTTGTTGAACCCAACATATTCAGAGGAAGCTTACTGGCCATGTTATCGTTATCAAGTATAGTCGTCAAAGAAGTTTCTAATTACCCATTCAGTCGCTCAACTATGCCATTCGCCATCGGATGGAAGGTTATCGTGCGAATACGTTGAATTCTGAGAGCTGATGTGAGAAGTGACTTTCGAATTGAGCTCCTCTATCAGTCGTAATATAACAAGAGATCCAACTCTCAACTAGGGTTTTGGCTATGATCTCGGCCGACATGTCGTTTATTGTCCGCTACAGCTCATCTCGTGAATTTATCAATGTGTAAAAATGTAGTAGAAGGCATTCGAAATTGGCAGTGGTCCCACCATATTGATGTGTATTATACGATCGAATCTAGTGTCGGTATGACCCCACTGCAGATTTGGTATGACAAGGGACTGACTTTTTGGCCCTTCATGAACGCTCATGTCTAGTTACGAATATGTTTACTCATACGAAGCGTTCTCCGATTAGCTTGACTATGGCTTTTATTACTGAGTGAGACATATTATGTGTAATTTTGGAGATCTTTCATCGTGACTGCTTCGGGATAAATAGTCGGCTTATCGACATGTCACAGATTACTTTTACATTGCCGAACTGAACTTCTTCGAATACTAAAGCAGTTGTGTTATGGGGTCTTCGTCTTCTGAAACGCCGCCAGGTTGTGAAAATCGATTCTAGGTGGGATGAGTGCGTTTACCATTGTTCTAGATAGTCTATCAGCTGCTTTGTTATCATTGCCTTTAGTATATCGTATACTGGATGTAAATCAATAAGTTCTATTTGTTGAATTTGCCTCCGAGAACAGTGATCTTGTTTGGCGATTAGTGTTTTCGTAAGAGGTTTATGATTTATACACACAGCGAAAATCGTACCCTCTACCATATGTCGGCAATGCTTTATTGCAAAGCAAATTGATAGCAGTTCTCTTCCGATTGTACTATACATTGTCTGAGTAAGATTCGATCTACTTGAGAGAAATACTTTCATCTGAAAATGGTTCCCACCTGCAATATAGCTCTTAAGGCCACATTCAATGTGTCAGTCACGGTGGTATAATGCTCACTGGTGTTGAAGACGGTTGAAAGAAAGTTATGGGCTGCCAAACCAAAACGTGGCACCAGTCCTTGAAGTCGCTAACTTCTAGTCTGACCCATGCTGGGAGATGCAGACTGTTTGGTTGGGGTCTACGTTACTATCATAACCAATGGTTGGAGACTCTTGGTGACACGGCTCAGAATCGATCCCAATGGCATCGGTGTATACACTCTTTGTCCTGCCTTAAACCGTGAGATTAAAGTCGCTTTATATTTCTTTTTACGAACTACTTCTTTCTTCCTGTACTGTATCCTTATACTCAATTTTTCTTTTGTATATTACCACCATTGAAGTGACTACTTCTATAAATTTGGTGTTCATCTTGTTGTGCTAATGAGGTGTGGTAACTTGGACCGACGTACATATATGCCTGGTCTTACGTTGTAGCTGACTGACTGACCAATGAAACAAATTTATAGTGAATATTTTATAGCATAATTCGAGAACTGGACCTCTGTAATTAAAGACTGTACTCTAAAATCCAATAGAGGGATAAATTATTCAATATGTCATGTGACTCTCTTTTTTACTCAGTGGATCAAGTTATACGTATAGTACGAAAAGATCTGTTTTTTCACAGGAATAATAATCTATTGGCCAAAAATTAGGCTTTTAGAAATTACGCCATGCAAAACTTTGGCAACGAGGTAGAAAAAAACTTAATTGCAGCACAGGCATAATAGGAACACAGTAAAATAGCTTTGACGCAACAAATAGCTATCTACTTCTAATAGTGAGATGAAATCTAAACTTGATAATACAGCTTGCACTCTATATTACATTGATAAGAGCAACTAGGACTGTTTAAACGTTATTCTTCAAATAAGTTTAAGATTGTTAAAGAACATAGACTGAGACCGCTATGAATATGATGTAGACATTGATGCAAATGACACTGTAGAAAACTGATGAGATAGTGAAGACAGAGTTGGTCATTTTCATGAAACAACAGGCAGATGTAAAGAATCAGTGATTGCTTTGTAACATTTGTTTTTGACGAGTTATTTCGTCGTTTGACAAATAACTAATAATCACTTCACTGCCGTTTATTATTTTGTAATTATATGACAATCTTGGTTTTCTAGTATATGTCGATTGATCAGTGAACCCATCTTCTGATGAGTTTGTGTTGAATTAGTCCTGTAACGTAAATATCAGTCCGGTCACCTCAAAGAATTAGGTGAGAATGAATGTCTAGACATTATGAAATAAAAAGTTAAATAATTGTAACTCTAAAGTGTAAATCTTATTTCAACGAAGTATTATGTTAAATTTAATACGAAATTATCAATATTCCATGCACACTGAATCCAATGTAACAATAATATTCCTAAATTCAAATATTTAGTGAATTCTATACATCATTGTCTGTTTCCTTCCAAAACTGATTCGAATAACGTTGAATGTTGGAACTTATTAAAAATGTCATTATCATTAAGAAAACCAAACAAAAACGCTTCAATTTTATTTTATTTACAAATGATGAGAAAAAAGTGTAGAAAATAGTTTGCGAATTAATGAACTGAACTGAGGTTAATTAACAAATAATTCGGTTTATGCCAATATAAAATCAATTAATTATCTAATTCTTATCATCAATAAAATTGGAGAATGTATATACAGTGTTATAAATAAAAATAAGGAATAAATATCTATTTTTTTGTAAGGAATAGTAAAGATTCATGTTGTCGAATGAGGACAACGGTTACGTGTATGACCAGGTTGTCGGCACAACCCACAACATCTAGTTACAGTGGATGATGAAGATAAACTACGATCTTTAAAGTCACGATTTTTGTTCCTAGAAATCGCACCTAGTAAAAGGGAAGAAATTAGATGGAAATTACACATTGGTTACGTTATTGGTTAAGTATTAAGTTCCATTTACAATTATCATTATTACTGATAATAAAAGATAAGATAGGCAACTTGCCTCTTGAATTATTTGAAGCTGGAGGAGGCCATGATGGGACATGACCGACAGAGATGTTTGTTTCAGCACTCACTGCTGATCTATGATAACTGGGTCCTTGTTCAGTACTTGATCCAAATGCATATCGTCTGCTTGAAAGTCCACATACTGATGAATCCGACTGTCCTGATGCTGTATCAATATGATCTGCCCATTGAAAAAAATTACATCCAGATGCTGGACCACCATCGATATTAGGACGACTGTTTGGACATGCGTAAAAATGACGACCCTTGTTAGACGACTGTTTATTCACAACAAGTCTAGTTTGGTGTAGAAAAAATTAAAAGTGCTTAAGCATCGTAACAGTGAAATCTGACGAAAAAGACGATACAACCTCACAAGTAAATAAACAAAACAGATCCACAGATTTGATGTTATATAACATTAAGCTTCCGACTAATGTTTTAATAGAACCTTGAAATAAACAACGAAAACAGACATAATACTCTTATAGTTTTCGGAACATCCTTAAACTATGTGTTCGAGTTAGATAACTCGAAAGAGTTTATGTTTTAATGCAATCCGGATTATTGGGTTTATAAGTCAATCAGTCAGCTACAACGTAGGACCAGGCACATATGTGCATCGGTCCAGGTTGCCATACCGCATCAGCACAACAAGATGAACACTGGATTCATCATAGCAGTGGTTAGGTAAAAGGTGGTAATATATAAGAGAAAGATTGCATATAGAGATATAGTACAAGAAGAAAAAATTGGTTCGTAGAAAGAAAGGAATGAAGTGATTTTAATCTCTTAGTTTAAGAGAAGACAGAGAGTGTATACACCGACGCCATTGTGATCGATTCTGAGCCATGTCACCAAGAGTCTCCAACCATTGGTTATGATAGTAACGTAGACCCCAACCAAATAGTCTGCATCTTCCAACATGGATCAGACTAGAAGTTAGTGACTTCAAACACTGATGCCACGTTTTGCTTTGGCCTCCCCCAACCTTCTTCCAACCATCTCCAACACCGGTTAGCATTGCACGTCGTGGTCATCGGTATTCATGCATACGTAAAATGTGGGCCAACCATCACAGTCGATGAAGATTCACAACCTCATCAACTGATTTACCATCATTCCCTAATACCCTGCGTCTAACCTCACTATTACTTACCCGATGATCCCAGCAGACGCCAGCAATATTTCCAAGGCCTCTGCGGTCAAATACTAGTAGCTTACGAGTATCTTCTACTCTTAATGGCCATGTTTCGCTGCCGTAAAGTAGAACAGAATGAACTGCCGTGCAGTATACTCGTCCTTTTATTGATAGACGGATATCTCGCCTTCGCCACAGGTGACGTAAGTTGGCAAAAGCCAAACGAGCTTTTCGAATTCGTGCTGAGATTTCGCCTGACACCAACCCATTAGGGCTGATCAGACTTCCAAGATAAGTGAAGTTGTCGACACGCTCAACTACTTTAATCCCTATCCTCAGTTCAGGTGTTGACGCAGACCAGTCCTGAAGCAACAACTTGCATTTAGAGGGAGAGAAGCGCATACAAAAAACATTCTGGCATTGTTGCTTAGTGCTTCCAGAAGACTCTGCATTTTATCAGCGTCTTCACCAAACAGAACTATGTCATCTGCGTATTCTAAGTCGATAAGTGGACCTCCTGAATGGAGATCAATACCCGAGAACTCAGTCGACAAGAAAGTTATTTCCATCAGTAGATCTATGATGAAGTTGAACAAAAATAGAGAAAAAGGACAGCCTTGACGGACACCACTTGAAGTTGCAAAAGCAGATGACAGTTCACCATAAGCTCTCACTCGACTATTAGTGTTCGAGTAAAGAGCCTTCAAAAGGTTTATGTACTTCTGAGGTACGCCTTTCAATGACAGACACTGCCACAACATCTCGCGGTCTACAGAGCCAAATTCTGCTTTTAATTCAAGAAAGACCACCACTGTCGGACGTCGACAAGTATGCCTGTGTTCTAGAATCTGACGAATGGTGAATATGTGGTCGATGCAGCCACGACCAGGTCTGAAGCCAGCTTGGTTCTCTCGTGTTTTCAGTTCACGAGTTTTAGCTAGGCGTCTGATAATTATCGAGGCTAGTATTTTAGATATTATATTAGTTAAACTAATCCCTCTGTGGTTGTCACAGGATGATTTTGACCCTTTCTTATATATTGGGACGATAAGTGATTGTGACCAGTTAGATGGGATAACGTCTAACTCCCAGATCTTAGCTAAAATATTAGTCAACCTAATCGCTAAAATTGGACCACCATCCTTAAAGACTTCTGGATCCAATCCATCTGGACCAGCTGCCCTTCGTCGCTTCAGATTAACTATAGCATTTTGAACTTCAGCAAGAGTTGAGGGACCTACTTCAATGTTCCATTCACACTGTCTGGGAATGGAGGGTAGTTGTAGAGTAGCTGAAGGCCAGTTGAACTGTTCTCTGAAATGTTCCGCCCATCGTTCTAAACGTCTGGACTGGGAGCAGATGAGAGTATCGTCTTTTTCCGATATAATCTCACTTACACTTGACTTATTAATTCCAGTTTCTTTTATTAGTCTGTAAAGCTGTCTTGTGTTCCCTATAGTCGCCGCCTTTTCCATCTCTTTTGCTTTCATTGCCCACCACTGCTCACGGTCGTTTCTTAGACTTTTTCTTAACCTAGATCTGATTTGTTGTCGCTCTTCATCATGTTCGGAACCTGACGAGACGAGTTTGCGAGAATCCATCAGTGTGATAGACTTTGAAGAAATCCACTGGTTCTTTGTAACCCTGTGGTTTAAATCACTGATAGATGTCATTGCTGTTTCCACAGCTATTTGTATGGCTTTCCAAGCAACATCTGGGTCAGCCTCGTTTTCAGAACTACCTAATCGTGACCTCAGTTGTTCCTGGAACCTACTTTTGGTTTTCTCGCTACTCAGTTCGGTTCTAATGGGTCTTTTTACTGTGGCTTTTTTGCGTCCAGTGAGGCGCTAGCAGATGCGTGTCCGTATTAGGATGTGGTCTGAGTCCAATCAGGTACTCCAGAATGAGCGACAATCTTCTACTGACCCTCTCCACCGATGACTGATGGCAATATAGTCTATTTGAGTCCATCGTTGGTTTGGTGTAGGGGGTCGCCATGTTAGACGATGTCTCTCCTTATGCCTAAAATTTGTGTTTGCTAAAAATAAACGATTGTCTGAGCACAGTTGCAGCAGACGGTCACCATTATCTGTTCGCTGTGCCGGAATACTCAAATATCCACCTAAATGCCTTTCTGTTTGGTTTAAGCAACCTATCTGAGCATTAAAGTCACCCCCTATGAGTACTATGTCTGAGCGTTTAGCTTTCTGAAGAAGTTCAGAAAGCTTTCTGTAAAATTCATCTTTCACTTTATTCGAGCTGCAGTCAGTGGGAGCGTAGGCAGAAACGACGAAAAGGCAACGACGTGTGTCCCTATCCTTCCGAGTTTTTACGGAGCCGCTTAGCCGAACAGCACATAGACGACTGTTGACGGGGATCCACTCTAGCAGTGCTTGTTCCGCCCTCATGCTCAGTGCTATGCCCACACCTGCCAGTCCACGAGAACTGGCCATCGGGTCACCAGATACACGGAGGGTGTATCTCGTTGGCTCTACGTTTTGCCGAGGTGAGGTCAAGTGAATGACCACATTGGAATCCTGTATGCGTGTTTCGGAGACACAGCATACATCAATGGAAAGAGACTCTAGGGTTTTAGCCAAGGAAGCCTGCTCACCGATTTGACATAGGGTGCGTACGTTGAAGGCTCCAATGTGTAGTTTGGAGCGAGGTTTCAGTAGACCTGGGACAGAGTTTTGAGCACTAGAATCGTTGGCTATGGTGACACTTGAGGAGGAAGCCGAAAGAGGAAGTTTAGCGTTGAAAGTCGATGTAGGAGGAATAATAGGAATTGAAGAGGAAGGTTGATTATGAATACAGTAGTCTTGGATGCTGTTAGAGGTATGAGGGCGGTTATCACTTCCCGGTTGCCCACACCGAGGAAGGGTTCTTCTGGAGGTACCTGAAAGGGAAATTGGATTAGAGGCGGTCTCAGTGACCTGAGAGCGTGACCGCAGTGCCCAAGGGACAACTGCTTGAGGCCGGTCGCGCACGGCCTTTTCGTGGGAGGTTTTTGACGTGTTAGCTCCGTTCTTCAAAGGGCCTTACCGCCGGAGACGGAAATCCGTGAGGTAAGGTGAGGTGTGCATTTTTAGGGTCGACCTTTTCTAACCCCACCCCTCCTTATGGGAAGACAGCATCGCTGTCATGCTGGTTGTCTGAAGGAAACACCTTACTGCCGTCACACCTCTGTACAGTCAGCAGTACGACTTCGCCTTCGGACCTTGGGTTTGTTGCTTTTAGACTTACCGCTCTTCAACCGACCTATCTGGCATGGTAGGACCTTGAGGAACGGTTGTTCCAGCCAGTATAGCTCGGTTGCTTCATCACGATAGGCAAGCCCGACCACCACGTCAAGGTAGCAACAACGGTCGGGAAGGGTTTATAAACTTTTAATACTAATAAATAGTGAACAATCTAGCATAATGTTAAAGCAATCAAGATTCGTTTATAAGACATTAGGTAATATACCAGTGAAATGAACATGGTGAACAGTAGATTTTGTGTGTTCCACATAAAAATCATAACAACCTGATGTGTGGTCAGTACAATTAAGTGTGATTGGCCACTGAGCGTGAACAAACAGGGAATAAGGCTACAAACTATGAAATATGTGAAATCCTTTTCTATAAGTGATATAATCTCTGAACTCTGATTTTTTAATTTAGGGTTATGAATCGTGTATTCGATATAACGTGATCTAATCTATGTATAGTGGTACCAACCGAGTATCCGGCATAGTAGCAGTATATTCTCGGTCAGCAGACATAGCAATATATCGTGGAACGAGGGAAAATAATTTTAATTTGTCCGTTATATTACACATACCTTCAATTAGCATCAAACTAGTACGATGTACTTCAGAACCATCTTAGACTGAAGTATGGAAACAACATCAACTGTAATGTGAAAATAATGATAGTCTTCAATTTGCATGCCAGTAGAAATTTTATAAAAATTACTGGGAAATGCTAATTTCTTTGTTTATCTGATTTTCAACAAAAATAACTAGGTAATTATAGGTAGTTACATTATCTAAATAGTAAACAATGAGACTATTTCTACTATCAAGTACTAATCAAAGGCCATCATCCTATCATATTAACCCTTTCCAATTTCACACGATAAAATAAGGCCATCTCCATAGTTCTTAAATTGTTCAACACCAGATTAAATTACTTTCACGAGCGCTTTATCTTTACTATAATAGTCCAGTGCTCGCAGGTGATTGAATACGAAAGTGAATTTCCAATGGAAAAGGGAAATATATGGAGTTTAGAGATATTAGGAAAAAGACAGATATCAATGATAGGAACTGTGTTTCCCCTATTCTTTCATTATAGACCTTGTTTCAATAACTAAGTAACTGTAATCAGAATATGGGAATTACATCAGATTAGCTGGTCAGTCACAAATTCTAAATCCACTCAATCATACAATTTTAATCTGATATAACATAAGCAATAGCTAAATACTTACAATTTTGCAGGCTCTCCACAACGACAAATAACGCAAGGTGAATTAGAGTCTGAAAAACCTAAGCCAGATGTTCTACTACTGACACAATTAGCATTCTCAGATACATTTTCAAGACGAGAGCATGGGTCGACGATATTCCGTAATGGTCTAATGAACAAGATATGATTAGAAAAAGAACGGTTATTGAACACATACAAATAAAAACACAAGGGATAACTGACAGGACAGTTTTCCCCGTTGTCTAAGTTGCTAATTACAAAATAGAATAATCAAGACAAACGTTTGGTAAAAATTGTTTTCGAGTCAGTACAAACAGATAGCGGACTGATTTTAATATAGCCCTAGCCGATAAAGTCTTGAGCGATAAGATGCCTTAGAAACCATCGATAAAATCATAATTTCCGTTGGACAAATCACCCTTAAACCATGTTATTTGACAAATCCGACCAATAAATAACAGTAATTGAGGTAGCAGCAAATAAATCTGCCGGCATCGAAACAATTCAGTCCAATGGAGTTTAGAAATAATTATCGTAACTGAAATTACCAACGAACTTGGGGATGATGTTACCACTGAACACGGACAATACTACAGACATTGATGATGAAACACTAAATGGTGTCGAACATTGGTATTTATGTTTTGATTTTTAACGACGACCATTAAATCATGTGGTAAAAAGCCAGTAGGTTGATGTACAAAATAAGCGCCACTGTTAACATAGAATAACTATATGTTTCACGCTACCAATAGAGCAAGCAATCACATAGATACATGAACATCTCAACTATTCTGAAGTGTATCTATCAAGACAAAGAGCAGATACAAGGGCATTGTTTATCTTGCAAAAGCACTCTGTACTTTAATTGCGTGAGGGACATGCTCTGTACAGTATTCAGATTATCCTATTTTTCCCCTGAGTAAACAGAAAAATTTAAATCGGTCCTCAGCATGAACATTTTGTACACACATGACATGAGGAAATGTAGAATACTTTAATCGTCCTCACAAACGTTAGATTTTTTACTTATCATATCTCAACCATATGGTCTGATCGATCAAATACTCTGAGTAAACCATCTAGAACGACAAACTCATGAATTTAGATCTAGCCATAATTTAGCAGTTTCCCTCACAAGTAGACACAGAAGATGAAGGAGAGGCTTTTATGATGGAAACGATACTGTAATGATGATAATTCTGACGATAATGTTAAGCAAATTGAAGACTAGATAAGTATCATTACCAAGGTTTGACTTGATAATTTCGAATAAATTGAGCATTGGGTAGATTGTTATTCTTGCGTTGTTCCTTTGTACCATTTTAGCTTAGATTAATTTCGATTTGATTATTTATTCTCTGAAGAAGTGGCTTACACTGAGTCACGAAACGTCAGAAAATTTAATTTTTCTATTTATTGGGGTATTACAAATATATATATTTATTTATGAAGATTAGACAGTTTGTATAAAAAGTTAAAGCAACTTACACGAAAGTACTAGAATACAAAGGACTTGATTGAGCAATAGTTATTGAACTTGTTTGAGATTTCCATAAAAAGAAATCACATGAATTACCTGCTACTCCAGAACAACGATAAAACAAACGACCTGAAAAATAAAAAGACTTGTAATAAGAACTAAACTTACAAAATCCTGTTAACAAATTTTCAAGCTGAATAGTGAATAGAGTAATATTACATATGAAACAATACTATCGGTGAGCTGTGGTCCTAACCAAAAAAGAAACTAAACGTTTGTGTGGAACAGATTACACAGAAACCTAACAAAAGAAAATAACGATGATCGGTCACTCATTATCAACGTGACACATATGTGTGTTGGACCAAGTTACTATACCAAATTAGCATAAGATGCGAATAACAAGATGGATTATAAAAGAAAATGAAATAATGTAATGGTAATGACAATGGGAAAGACTAAACATTGAGAACATGTTTCAAAAAGACACAGTAGAAAGGTGTGCATAAAATAATATTGGAATCCAAGATCTACAGGAAAACAAAGATAATATATCTGCACAATTTTAAACGATGTTAAGCCATGTCACCCAAATTTATGAAACACTGATCGCAGTTATCACCCCTACACAAACCAGGTAACCTACAACTACTACTATGGTTTAGGAAATGATTAGTAAATCAGTCATAGAAACCGTAGGATTCGATACAGCCAAGAATCTCTTCAAGGCGTTTTGTTTCGTTTAAACGTAGTATGAATTTGCCGAAAAGGGAACCAGATGAAAAGAGAATGATTATACTAACTACAGTTAAAATGGACAGTAAATATGGTTCTAAGAGGATAAATGAAATGGAAGTAATTGACTCTTCAACCCGTAGTAGATAGATTGCTGCCTGAACCTGAGATCGTTTGGTTGAAAGCTGAACTGTTGTAACCACTAAACCTGTCATGAATATTCAATTAAGTAGTAGTGTCGTTAGTTGAATTCCGTAAACGTAAGTTCTTCAAGCAAACCGATTACTAGATCTAGTAAAAATAAACAAATCGTTAAGAACTACCACCCTGAAAAAATTCCAGGTGTGACTACTGTTGACTAGCTTTGAGATGAAATTGTCAAATCCTTAGCAGGAACCTGTGACCTGTAACGTCAAATAAATTGGAAAAAAGGCAGTAACTGATGAAAGATGGTGAGGACCGTGATTTATTGAAGACTCAAAGTCAATCACACGAACTAGTTGTATAAAGATATTATGGTCGTCGACAAGCTTGATTCTGAAAGCACGAGCGTACGCCAATTAGAAGTTCCTTAATGGGATGAAACAACCGTTAACAGTTCTCACTCGTTTTCGGTTGTTTTCTAAGTCACATCCTTTCGTTATGAGAACTAAATTCTATTTTAAATAAAAGCGACCAGGATTGCACAGTAAATGATTCAGAAGCTTCAATACTACTACTGGTAATAACGATAAAAATAATATAACTAAATAAACATAGTACAAGATCACAGACAGCATTATAACAATCATTTATAAACCTTGATTTGGGCCTGGTTTCTTGACAGTTAACTGAATAGCTGAATGGCCACAATTACACAAGATATTGTCTGAATCATCAGCCCCTGCGTCGTCAACAGATCTTGAGAAATTGGGAGGCCGAGGTAGAGTACTATGGGATGAATTATTACATGTTGGATGTAGATTTAAATAAGGTTTCGCATGCAATAGACTGGAGGAATTATGATGACTACCAATTGTAGTAGATGAAAAAGGAAGGGGAGAGGAGGAATTACGTGTTTGTGATGTAAGAGGATCTCGATTAGCACTGAATTCATTCGAAACTGTTGTTTGTGAAGAGATGGATGAATTATTCACTAGACGAATATGAATTCCTAATGTTCTGCAGATATCTTCATCGCAAAATATACAAGTTATATATCTGTAAAACAGGAATTTGAAAAACAAAAAATACTAGAGTAACTGGCAGTTTAGAATTTAATTATAAAATATTATTAGAATAGCAGTTGATATACAACCTTGTTTGATTTCATACAACAGGAGGATTATATTTGTACTACTCTGAAGTTTATAAGTAGGTCATACTGATGACTAGTAAACTAGTTAAAATATATTTATTATTTTATATTTAATCCTGTTAACAAAGTTCTAATAAGATGTATCATTATCTGTTTAAGTGACCAAATTCAATAACTAATCAGTAGAATTTGATTTGTACTGTCGACTAACTCAACTAAGAATAATGACTAATGTGTCAGTCAAATCTAATTCCAGAGCAGGTTAGCCGTATCTCAAACAGACTAAGTGACAATATATTTGACAAAATTGGCTGGATGAAATTTTAATATGTATGTACAACTCAACTTAGTAACAAAGGCATTAGTACGATCAGGTGAACGTTAGTGGACAAGATAAATAGTGTTTTTCGGATTCTGTGCCATAACAATTATTAAAAAAGGGCAAATATTACCATTTTGTCACTCCAAACTCTTTTTCGGAAACATGACGTGAATGCAAAACAATATATTTTCGATATTTCTGAAAAAGTCAGACAGCACTTTATATAAAGCTCTTTTAAGGTTCTAACAGCATAATAGACGTATGAAGTCTCGAAATTAAAATCAAGGAGGCGTCTGGAAAACAATGCTGTTGAAAAACACAAATATCAAAGACCTACAGACCTGGGTGTTGGCTACATTGTTAAGGTACAAAGTCTATCTTACGAAACGAATCAATAAGAATAAGTATAACACGCAAGACAGCAGAAAATTCCGTCAAACGTCCACTAACGATTAAGAAAACTAAACAAATTAGACGCTATACTTTCATATTAGGTAACCTAATTAAGGTAAACGAAGCTTCAATCAGAAGTACGTATAACTGCGGGGGGTTGTACATAAATACTGTATGAAATAAAAACACGTTAAAACCCAGAAATGTTTGATGCAGAGGAGAATTATCTGAAGTTAAAAAGTATAAATCTTAAAATTACCATACTTAAAAAAAATGACTACCGACCAACGGAATCCTTGCAATTGAATCTACAAAATAATCTATATCAATGACACCTTTACATATGAACTATTTAAATTCCAATTAGTGACACTAAGTCAATTACAGCACTCCCCACATAAAACACCAGTGTGCTACTGTACAAAAGTGTAAACATAGCAAAATGTAACTAGGAAGGAAATGATGCACGAGGAAATTTATATGAGCATATTTTTTGTGTAACAATATTTGATTACAGTAACAGCCATATAAATTAGTGTACATATGATTTTGAGTGAATGATTATTATGTGACCGTAAGTCATTTATCTTTTCATGAAACGCTGACTATAATCTCCTTAAGAAAAGGTAGATAAAGTTTCATTTTGTAACATCTGTTTTCGAAAACTTCGTGTGATAATTGTTGCACATTGAAGTTTCCCTTCATAAAATTTCTAGACCGAATATATAAAAGCACTTCAACAGTTTTTACTCACTTAGCCCCAAGATCGAGAGTGGGGAGAGCTCTCACATGGCCACGTGTACATAGTTACTGCCAGGGAAGTCCTACTGACTGCCTTCCCTTGGCGGGAGTGTTGTTTACAAAATTCAAAGGACGAAGAGCGAATGTTTGGCTCTTTGACCCGGTTAGTGGGTACGGAAGATCCACATAAGAGTTGGAAAACCCATAGTGCACATGGGCTTTAGAATCCTGAGAGGACACCCGCTTCGGTTTGGGTGCCTGGACAGTATTCTAACCCTCTAACAATTCGAATGACGAAGTGTGGTGCACACATATTTGGTGTCTTCTTGTACCAATATTTTGTGTTTAAACAAATAAATAATAAATTTTACTCAGTTAAATATGAAAGAAGTCTTGTAAGAGCATTGGATTAATATTTACGTGATAATGTGGTACAAAGACGAATTTCAACATATCAATCATCACTACCAAAGTATAAAAAATCACTATGTAAAGTGGGAATATGGATGACTGACTGTATTGCCCTTACGACGCGGTAAGTTATAACATACACTTAATATAAATGTGAATTTTCGTCAAGTATTAGCGTAGATAGTTTTCTACAATAAATGTATATTTACCAACACTGTTTACTCCTTGATATCTTTTGTCTGAATGGCATATAATTGAACAATAAGAATATATTCTACTTGAATAACGAATACATAATAGTAATACTTACTCTTTAGTATCATCATCCTGAAAGTAACCATTTGGCAAGTAAAAATTGCGTCGAAAACGTAAGCCTAATTTCGATGGCCTTAACTGATCATTAGAAGAACGAACAGATGAGGAAGATATGAAGTTTGTACAACGATTGCACGTATTTTCATTTGATTCAGATAAAACACGAACATGAATGACTGAATCTGGAAACCAAATTGCATATCGACAATTAGGATAGCCAGAACATGAGAGAAACCAGCCACCATTACTTGTTTGATTTACTTCATTTGAACTTTGAAAGAGATAGTTATTTTAAATGATTTGTAGGACAGCCATACAAAAGGTCATAGAAAAGACTAATCGGTAAATATTGTGAGAATGGTGTACAAAACAATTTGGATGAAAATAAACTAGGCAATACCAATTACTCAGAAAAAAAATGTAGTTCAAAAACTATGAATGAAGAAATGATTAAATCAGATCATAACAGAACTTAAAAGTTCTTTAATGAGATAGAATTCAAGCACAGTTGCCAGTTAGAGAAAAATAACTATGCACAAATTGACTCAATTGGGTAAAAAGCCTTTAAAAGTTTGGCTTTAGACTAAATAATCCGTTTTATGAAGAAACGTAGGCTGAACAAAAATAGTGTGAATCTTCCATGAATTGCCCGAAATCATCTGTACATGATATGATGTAAAAATACTATCTTCATCATGGAGTATATGAACATTTTGTCCAGATAAAGATTAAAGCCTTAAATAAAAAAATCTGGCTGAATTAGGCCGGTAGTAAGAGAGGGAATTAAAATTCAACCAGTGTAAATCTGTGTTTGTTATTATGTTGATTCGCTTAGTCGTATCATAAGTTCGTTATTTTTTTACAACATACAAAAACCTTTTAGTGTGATAATAAAAATACACAGTAATTGAGACCTAAACCATTCCAAATAGGCTAATTTATTTTATTGAAGCAATTTACGACACAAAGTATGGAATAATTTTCTAATGAAAGCTTACCCATAGATACGAATAAAAATTAAGATATTCGTATGTAACCAATCAATATGATATAACAAATTCAGAATTCGTGGTTAACAGTAAAACGATGGAAACTATCCTATTTAGATATTACGCTTAAACAAACTGGAATAAAAAACGAATACGGAATTTCATTAAATAGTAAAGTTTCACCTTAATCAGTGAGTAAATTACTAGATAATTATTTCTCAGTTCTTACGAACACACAAACCATTAACAGAGCTAAAAGTTGTAACCTTAGTGTCCAAAATTATATAATCGGATTTGGAACACATTAACATGTAAGGAGGAGTATCTTTATTGAAGCAAAACAAAATATAGGAAGTGTGGTGAGTGAAAACACTTTTGGACGTTATCATACATGAATATGAAAGCATTAAAACTAACCCAGGATTATTTGAGATATTTGAACTAGTTGTTAACGGACGTAAAGCACTCCGTTTCTGACGAAGTACTAGACCAGAATGACAAGTAGGGCAAAATGCAACAACCGGGTTTAAAACGTTGCTTTGATTATGTCCATCAGTAGCGTTATTGACAGCAGCAAATGAAGCCATCTCACCAACACTACCAGATATATCTACAAAAATCGAGAAGGGGAAAAACAAAACAATAAATAATATGTGAAAACTTGTAGCAGTAAATAAATAGTTCTGTATGTCTTCGATGTTGATGCTGACCTCATTAGTTTTACTGGATACACCCTAGCTGAGGGTGCTCAGTTACGCAACCGCACCGGATCACGAAAGGGTACGCATTTCTTGAACAACTTCCACAAACCCAACACTAAAATAAATTCCGTATATTATTTGCTTTAACATTAACAGTCTAACCAATGCTCAATTAAATGGAAATTAGCAAGTTAAACCTTGATAATGATAACTACAAGTGTATGGAGTTACACACATGTTTCCAACCATTTGATTATTCAAATCTTGCCCACGGTCACAGTTCAGTGAAACCGATGACCTAACTTGAAAATAATTCAAAAGTTAATAACTTAATAAACCTACAGTCCATATCACAAGGCTAACACCACATTATTCTAATTCCTCATAATCTTTGACTTTGAACAAGCATTTAATTTATCAGAGTTTATTTTTATTTTTTTCGCCTACTCCTCTTTCTCTCTCTTCATTGTCATTGTAACCTGGGATTTGAAATTGATTTTACATTGTTAGTTTAGTTAGTGAACTAACGAAAGTTTATATATATAAATCTGAAAATACCACTTCGACTATCATAGCATAGAAGCAAGACCACGGATTAAACATAAATATGTACAATAAAATTGTAACTGGATTTTTTATTGTTGCTACATTTAACGTCAACAGGAAATTAAACTTTATATTTATACATTAATTTTAAAATTTCTCTTCAGACCATGATTTGATATCTGGAACCAGAATTACAAATGAGTTATATATATTAAATAAATGTCGTAACATTCTGGAGTTTAAATTAAATAGGTGTCCGTATATGGGTGCGTAGTGGACTAGGCAAAGAAGCCGAATGATTTAAAAGAGTTATGAACTTCCACTGAGTGAGAACGTTAGGAGATCTAATATATACACACACACATCTTATGATGGCTGGAAGAACGGTGGTAAGTAGCTAAAGTGAAATATGGAATTCATCTGTCAAAGTCAGACTATTTGATCTGAGCCATGGCGAAAACCGCAGATTTCCTGTTCAAAGATTAAGTAAGAGTCGCACTCTATGCCTGAACAGTTAGTGGAACAATTCAAAATCGGTCGGAATCGTGTATATGTACACATAATCTTGACCTAAAGTTTGAGTCATTATATTATGCTATACATTTCAGTTTTCAATTTATATATATATATATATATATATCCTATGTTACTCAATGACTGATGGATACACTATCTGTAGCCCGTAAACCGTATCCATTATGTTCAGGGCATGAAAGTAACTTACTTTGAACGTTTTCTGCTTCTTGTTCCAATCGAAGAGCTAATGCCCTGTCTAGGAATGACGCCTGGTTTAGAGCTAAACGAAATAATTCTTTGTACTTGTTCAAATGATGATGTAATACTTCTGAAAACAATTTTTTTAGAGTAGAAGTATAACATTTTAAAAGTGAATTCATGGATAGATAAGTAAAGAACAAAATCAGCATACGACAATAACAAACATAAATGTTGGTTTCCTTTCGGAAGTGTTCACGTATTAATACATTAAAATTACAGGGTCGCATTTTTAAAGACCTTTCATAATTAAATGATACTTACCGGAGAACCTATGAAACTGCATAGTAAATACTAATGTGCATTTGTGATGCAACGCGAAATTGAATATTTCCTCGATTTGATTGACTTGAGAATTTACAGATTACAATTCAAAACTTAGAATATTTATCTATATACAAGTCACTAGTAATGAGTGAATTTCTATGTAGTCAGATGACTGTCGATAGTTGTCACTATATTAGAAAACACGTTCATCATCGAAAGGGATTGACTAGCTAAGCGACTCAAAATGAAGAATGAAGGTTTTTGATTCAAGAACAGTGTAGGTTTGAGAATGTGTACTACTAATAGATCTGAACTAACACGAAGCAGTAATTAATCCTGGTATTTAAATACTGTTTTACCCCTAATCAGTGTGTGATGAAAGCAATTGTCTAATTGCATGAATCCTTTAAAAACACTTAATTGAAGTAGTCAAATTTTTTTCTTTTGAGGTATCTAGGGAGGGGATTGAAATACAATGTGAATAAGTCCCTTTAAAACTTAGAACAAAACAAGTGTTATGTATTCAACTTCTTTTTACTACGAATTGTATAAAACGATTACATATCACAACGTTCATCTATGTGTTAAGTTTATTTGTTCACTGATAGTTTGGTCGGAAAATGTATATATTCGCAGACATAAACCTCAATAGTTTTGTTTACCTTCATGAATTTTTCTTATACTGGATAGCAATTATGGGAAATATACTTTTGGTTTTAGATTAGGTGATGATGGCTAGTCCACATTATCAAGCGTGGCTGAAACCCGGATAAATCAATCTGAACTTACCTGTTTATGTGGGCGTATATAACAAATGATTTAAACATGTTATTGATGTAAGTCCTTCTTCCAAAGTTGTGACTAATTATCACAAGCACTAATCAATCACTTGCTTGTCCTACATTATTATAACCAATTCAGACTGGAATAATTCGATTAACTGATCAATATAATTTACTTATCAACTAAGACGAATACTGAATAAAAAAATTAGATTACAGTCCTACTAGTGGTCAGATCATTTAGTTCAGCTGCCAAAACAGATATGATACAAGTGATTTAGAGATGATTTGTCAAATAACTGAATCAATTCAATTTATGTAAACTCTTAGTCAACTCGTGTTTCTCAACGGTATAGGTAAAAACTAAACACGAATTAAAGAGATTGATCTCAATTACAGGAGTAAAAATTACTGGGGACCAGGTAAAAAGTTTAAGAAACAGATTCCTTTAAAAGTAGATGTTTACTTACCTTCTTTTGTTTTTCGACCTTCACATATTCTTAAAACAAAATTGAAAAAGTGGTTACTAGATAGGAAATGAATGTTCCTAGAGAAAACCTATTCTATGGATCAACAAGAAATTTTACGTACATAGGTAAAAAAAATTGAAGGATCCTGTTTAGTTATAGCAAAGTAAAATGGAGATTAATCTAAACTATGATGATCGATTCTGAGACATGTTACTTTGCTTTACCAACAAATTTATAATGTCTTCCGCAGCAATGGCAGAGTGATGTTGATTTACTTACCTTTAAATAATCAGGTTTTCCAAGCTTAAACTTTGATCTTACCTATTTTGGTTTGGGTAACCGGGTAGTGTGTTATCATCCATCTATTTACAAGTTTAGGATAAGGTTGAGGACACGAAGTTAATACTCTATCGAAATCCGATTAAACGAGTACAGTTAACCATACAGTTTAAACTGATGTCTGTTGAATTCGACGACTGAATAGTACATACTCTTCAATTTGGCACATGTAACAGGTGTTTTAAATGGCTTAGTCAGAGTAGACTGACAGTCTATATGATTCAGTATCTTCACTTAACACTTCACATCAAAAATAATTCTTTTTATTCAGGACTACGACCAATAAATGTTCGTGAAGAACCCTGTATTGACTATGAAGTCGTTTGTTTAAGATGGCTACTTATAAAAACTGTGTGATTTAAACGCCTTCATCTGAAGTAGGTTGTGGATCAGAATTTTTAAATGCTTACACCAATAGTTCAAAATTAGGAAAAGGATGGTATCACTTTTGTTCAACCATTATAGTTGCTTTTTGATTAAAATATGCTAAATTTATTAAATCGACACAATAAAAATAGTAGTGAATCTTTCAAAACTAAGTTTTTATTCAAGAATTAAACGGGTTGCGTTTAATCTACTATTCACAACTGAGAATCAATTACAAGTTCAGAAACTGATGAGAAATTAGTAAAAATTCAAGCGTAAATTCATGGATTAGATGAAGTATTTTTTCAATCTCTTGAGTACCAAAGTACTGGACTTTATTATCAAACAGAACCGTTGAGTAGAATTCTAGAACAATTAATAATACATAAAAATCTATTTCAAATTACAAAAATAACTTACAACTTAAGATCAGCTTCAAATTCCGATCGTAAATTAGGTTTAGACATCTCGAAACCCATGGAATCATAACCTTGAAGCGGAAAATATTTGATAATATTAAAGTTCAATACACAAATAATACAATCTTGATGAAAAATGATTTTATGATTAGCATTGCAAACACTATCCATGATGGATGATGGAAAAATTGTTTATATAGAAATCCAAGGAAGGATTATTCTCCCATGGTGGTGACCCTTAACACTTAGCCCAATCTCAAGTTTATTGATCAAAGCAGCATTTCAACAAGGTTGATATTCTAGCTAGAACAGAAAATCACTACTTATCAAGTACATAATGCTTTGCCAGATTAAAATCCGATCAAATAGTTTATCTACGGGATTGTTGTAAGACGATTTCGATGTTTATTCATTGTACTTGTGCAAAAATTAACTGTTAACGTGGGAAAATCCCTTTTTCATAACATTACTTGACTTGATTCTCAGAATGCAACACAAACAAATTCTATAAAAAACCATAGACAAACCTTCCACTAATCCCATCCCCAATTGACCTGGAACAAGAAATTTGTTTTGCTCTAAACCGACATAAAGTCTTTGTTTGATTGTTTCAATATGTTCAGCATGTGTAGCGTCTGTGCCGATCCCATGACGATCCATAAGGGAAATAAGATCAGCTTCAGTAAGCAAAGGCGGTGGACATGTTTGACCAGTAAGTATCTAAACGGAAGTTTAAGTAATGGATAGATAAAAAACATAGATGTTATTATTTAAACACGAAACATCGTTTTTATACAATTCAACAAAGACAACAAACGGGGAACTTATGGAATAATCGTATGCCTACTAGTGACTAAATTTGAGACAGATTCTGAAAGTCCTATAGTTCAAGGTTGTAGACGATAAAGTTTAAGAATACTGAAAAAGACATACATTGCTGATAGTGTTGGGATATTACTGAGCAATGTCGCAAACTAAATGGAGTTGGAAATATGGACCAGTGATCTGAAGATGTGTTTATCAACAAACTTGAAGGTTCTGTTTGATCGCTAGTAGGATCAACAGATGAGCTCTGACTCTCAATTTGTGACAAATACTACTTTGTACTCTTAAATTAACTCAAGAGGGCATTGATATTTATTATTCGAAAGATACAATACAGTTATAATTGTAACGAGTAAACAAGACATAACCGGATGATGGTCAATACCAATTCAACTATAATAAGGTGTGTCAAAAAATGAATCTATGGAATATTAAAACTTCGAACAGTAATTTGAACAAAAAAATAAATCTATCTAAAGCTGAAGATGAGAAAAGTCTAGATATCTTAAATTAAATGAATAACGGTTGAAAACCCTATATAGAATTGACTGTTGATGATAATGAGCAGAGCAGTAAAAATATTCAAGATCAAATTTCTGCCTTCAACTAATTAGATTGATGAACAATTCTAATAATGAGTGACTACTGATCAGTTACCAAAGGGTACTCACGATTATACAATTATATTATTAGGCATTAAATTCTCCTACCAACGGATATTTAGTTGCTGCGGTAATCCCTACGTCAGACTGCTAACTGCTGTGATACATCGCAGTGATGATATTCGAAAGGAGTAGAGTTCTGAGACAGATTATTGGCTAAAGCTGTGATCCTTTGTTTGAAAGAACAGTACAAAAAAACACAGCACTGTTGAAGATCGATCGACCAAAAAAGTACTTGACTGGTGATTCCCACAGTATTACCTAATCATTTCGTAACTTTATACAGTTGTTTCACAACCATCCCTTACGCTTATGTTACATAAGAAATTTATTACCGGTAATTACAACGATAGAAATGCTCCCCACAAAATATTGCAATAATAATGATGACTGTAAAGCAGCTGGTCTCGAAGATGGTTGTTTGTAACACTAATTATTTAATGAAAACAATCTGATAACACTACATAATACGGGAAGATAAAATCACAAAACCGAAGTAAATTTTCGTAAAAATGAAAACAAATTGTTGACAATCCCTAGTACACTTAATAGTAAATTATCACGTTACGGTTATTATCGATATTAGTAAAAAAGAACCAAGATTTTGACAGCAAAGTCTATGGGAAAAAATTGACGTTAAATAAACAACTTACTTGAATATTATCAGGTAAAATCCATTCACCTAATTGAAAAACAGGCATATCTTTTTCAGCCCACCGATCATAAATGTAAACTTCTAAATAGTTCAGAGCCAAAATCATAAGACCTTTGGACTCAAATAATTCCCCATCTTCTGAAGTAAGTAAATTAGCTGTACTTATACTTGAATTAAATGTTCTTGGAAGAGTAGGTTTACCAATACACAAACGAACTATGGTTTCAGAACCCTCTGCATCGGTTGAAAGACAAGCTAGAAAATGCCTAGTCACCAATTCATAGAGACGTGCTTCATCACCCTAAAGCGTAACAGGTAAAAACAAACAAAGGTTATTATACAATTAGAAAGAACAATAATGTTTCCGATTGCTTGTATTTCTAACATGACATCACATCATAGCTTTCAAAAAAGCTAACCATCCCAGTCATAGGGTAGAACTGTTATGCATCAAATCACTGTACACTGAACCTTATATAACTAGGCTACCGATATAAGAATACTGACGATCACATCTTCATCATGGTAACGTAATAAGTTTGACTATACACAGAAAGATCTTATCCACTCCACACCATAACCACAAATTAGGCAGCTAAATTAAAATAAATGCAAATTATAATGCAATATAGGGTAGACTTGGAACTAAAAACACAAGCGTATGTCAACAACAACTGGAAATCGGAAAAAATATGATGTAACAATCTGTCTATCTACTCTGAGAAAACGTATGAAAGACAAATCAGTATACAGAAAAACACTTGACATGCTAGTGTTTAGCCCTATTTTTAGTTACATTACACTCTAACAACTCTTCGCTTAAATCCGTATGATCTCTTTGATAAACCTTCTGAGCAAGACTTTTCATGATTAACGGAGGCTTGATAAAAAGAGAGCTACCAGGGTTTGATACTGTGGAAATCGAAGTTGTGTAAATGAAACAGTTGCTAAAAAGTACTTCATGATTTTTGGCCCCCAAATGCCCTGGTATGGACGAGAGTGGGGTGGACCCGCTCTCTCTCTCTCTCTCTCGAAATGCTCTCACATGGCCACGCGTATACAGTCTCTGCCAGGGAAGTCCTACTCACTGCCTTCTCGTGACAGGCGGGTTGTTTACGAAATTGAGAGGACGAAAAGAGAATGTCCAGAGCTTTAACCGGATCCCAAACCAATGGTGTACATGGGCTTTAGTATCCTGAAGGAACAAATGGCGTATGAAACAATGGTTGGTCACCGGCTACCATGGGACTGCATCTCTTTACGATGCTCCACTGCCTTGTGGATCAGACCTTCAGGTCGAAGGCTCCGGGTGTGGCCCCCTAAGAAAACCACCTGCTTCGGTTTGGGAACCCGGGCAGTATCACAGTTCTCACACAAATCAAATGAGATTTGTGTGGCGCATATGTATTTGGTGCCTCCTTGTACCAATATCTATGTGTTAAAATAAATAAATAAATGAGGTTGGTCACAACTTATGGTAATAAACACTAAGGATGAGGGTGGTTTTTGAAACGTTAAATTTTAACTGACATTTCATTCCTTGATTTGAACACTACAATTGTAGTCTTCTCTATTACAGAAAACATTTGTGTTAAAGATGCTTATCACGTGACACAAACGGATAAATCTTTTCCTAAATTCACATGAAAGTCTACTATGATAATCAGACAATGTATTAATGTATATTGTTATCAGTAAAATAGCTAAACGACAATATACCTGAAGCGAATCGCCCACTTTTAACGGGTGTATAGGTGGATGAGCCTTATCACTTGACTTTCCGTTCTTAGGATTAGGACCATGCTCAAGGATTCTGGAGGCAAAATCTTGATTAAATAAAGAATTAAAAGAGAGAGGAATCATTAGTTTATGAGACAAAAGTGCCAATAATAACACACGATAAGCTCACAGATTGCATATGTATAGTTTTCTGAATGACCAATAAATAAATTTTTAAATTATAATTAGTGCAGCTCGTTGACCAAGTACAGGTGTTCATATAATCAGTTTTCAGACATATCATCTGAGTAAGGCGTAACTCTATACTACTCTCCTAGTCAAACTGAAGTTGGTAGAGTGAGTTTAAAATTAGCGATCGATTAGTTCGAAGCCAGATGTTTGAGCAACTAAGTAACCAATTTAACTCACATGTGAACGATGACCACAGTTTTAGCTAATTTTTGTTTTACATTGAATGAAGAGAACTATATAGACTAATTGATGTGTGACAGAGACTGTTTTACTATTTTAGAAAACAATTACTTAATCAATTCCGTCATATAAATTCGAAGTCAGGTTACATCAAGAAGAAATACTTGAAAAATGGTAAATAGCGTGAGATTCCATATATTTTGTTTTAATGATAAACATGGCTACAAACAAACCGGAAATACAAGAAAATTGTAGGTCAATGACAATCAACGTTTAATTCAACAACATTAATATTTAATGGAATCAATGTATTGCTAATAGTCTTCTACGCTGTCACTGAATCTAATCGCTATATAAATTGACTGAATGACTTATCACTGCATTTGCATTAGGAAAAATGCCGGGAATGTATGACATTCGAAATCATTCATGAAGTTGGTGAAAAATAGTAGATTCAGGAAAATGTTCGTTAGAAATTAACAATACTGGTGAGATGCAGCTATTCTCTCAACAAGGATAAAACTAAACATTTTCAAATTTCGTAACTAATTGTTATAAGAGCTTAATCCTAAGTACTTTTCAATGCCAGTCAAATAATTGTATTACAAAACTTACCAGACCATCGAGAATCATTTATTTGAACGCGCACTAAGTTTTTAAGATCCAAATCCGGTGGGAATATTTTAGTTTCTGTACGAGGATATGAAATAAAACCTTTGTTGTAAAGACGCTCAGCCAACTGCATTGCATATCTAGCTCCCATATGTAACTTGCGAGAGGCCAGTTTTTCCAATTCCTTCGCAGTACATGAAACAAATAAAGTACGTTTCTGAACAGAAAACGATTCTTTAAACTTCAACTGATTAAAATGGCAACTAATATCCCGATGAAACGTAAACAATTGACACTTAATTCAAAGTACATCTATGGTGGAGTATTCCTATTAGACGCTACTTATTATTGACAGACACCTGGATCTTGAGAAGCAATCAATGTAAAGATAAATTACTAAGTGGACAGTCCATATAGCTCGCCGGTACTCTTGGTAAAGAAACCAAATGGAAAGTATAGATTTTGTGTCGACTTCAGAGAATTGAATAATATAACAGACCTGAAGCCTTGTGCAATGCCAACAGTGGTGGAAACATTAGATCGGCTACAGAATGCCACGGTGTTTACAGTGCTGGATTTATGGTCAGGTTATTGGCAACTACCTATAAAACAGAGTGATCGAAGCAAGACAGCGTTTACTGTACGTGATAAACAGTATCAATTTAAACGAATGCCGTTCGGGTCGGCGGGTGCACCGTTCACGTTCAGAAGATTAATGACACTACTGCTCAGGAATCTAGATAATGTCGAGGTATATGGCGACGATGTAGTTGTGTACAGTCAAACAGAAACAGATCACATCAAGCATGTGGAAGCGGTCTTAAAGCGAATTGACGAATTTGGACTTCGGATTAATAAGGACAAGTCGCAGATAGCGAGAAGTAGCGTCACATTGTTGGGACATAAAGTGGGAAATGGAGAAATAAAACCATTGCCGGAGAAAATTCTTACCATAAAAAATATTGCAGTACCTAATTCGAAAAGGAAGTTGAGACAGTTCCTGGGAAGAGCGGCGTTCTACAGTCGGTTTATCAAGAATTTCAACGAAATAGCAGCACCCTTATATAAGTTATTGAGCAGCACCAAGTTTACGTGGACTGAGACTGCCGAACAAACGTTCAACCGAATCAAAAACATGCTAGACGATCGCCAGATGACGCTCAGACTGCCTGAACCGGGAAGACTGTTTACAGTGGCCACAGACGCGAGTGATCATGGTATAGGTGCTGTGTTGAGTCAGGCTGATAGAGTGGTGGAATACGCGAGTCGCGTCCTCACACCTGCTGAACAGAAGTATTCAACCATCGAAAAGGAGTGTTTAGCGATCGTGTGGGCAGTGGAAAAATGGAGACCATACCTTTTAGGTAGACGATTTCACATTGAGACCGACCATAAACCCCTGCAGTGGTTGAGAACCGCAAGAGACCCCCGAGGGAAGTTGGCGCGATGGATTATACGCCTGCAAGAATACGATTTCAGTATCGGCCATGTTCCAGGAAAAGAAAACGTAATGGCGGATTACTTGTCAAGACCAGACATGGAAGCCGACCTGCCATTAACAGCATACGCGGTGAATAGTTTAGAGGGAGACCCATTAGAACTCGTCCGGCAGCAGAAAGCTGACCCTAACCTTCGAGAGGTAATCAGAGTGATAAAAGAGGGAGCAGACGTAGATAAACGAACAATGGACAAGGAGGTAATAACGCTGCTTCGGCAAAAGGAACGACTGAGAGTGAACTCATATGGAGTGCTGACCTGGCAGGACGATGATGAGAATTGGGTGGCGGTGATCCCGAAAAACTGGCGGCGCAAAGTGATACACGAGTGTCACCAGGTAGCACATACAGGCATCGCAAGAACGACGGACTTACTACGACAAAGTGCATACTGGCCGAGCATGAGAGACGATGTGGCTGAATACGTGTTAACCTGCCAGCAGTGTCAGCTAATGAAAAGCGATCGATACACACAACCGCCATTACAGTCAATCCCAGTAACCGCAGTCGGTGATCTATGGTCGGTGGATGTGATGGGACCGTTTCCACAGACGGCGAGCGGTAACCAGTACCTGTTAGTGATGACGGAACATGCTACACGTTGGGTAGATGCCGTACCCATTGCAGACCAGCGGGCAAGGACAGTGACCGAGGTGGTAATTCGGCATATTGTAGCGTGTCACGGAATACCGAAGATGATATTAACTGACCAGGGTCCCTGTTTTGAAAGTGACGAGTTTAAAGCCCGTTTAAAGCAGTTTGGCATCAAGAGAATACGAACTACACCGTATCATCCTCAGACAAACGGGCTTACAGAGAGAAACAATCGGACGTTAAAGGAATGGTTAGCATCAAAAGGAGGAAATTGGGAGAAAGAGTTACCATTGATTTTGCTGGCACATCGTTCCTCCACACAAGGAACAACCAAGAAGTCACCTTTCTTGCTCATGTATGGCAGACAACCACGACTTCCACTGCATAATAAGACCTGGCCACAACAACAGAAGTGGACGACAACAAGGTTAAGAAAAGAGAGGAGAGAGGCAATAAGGAACGTGGAAAAGAAACAAATATCAGACACAAAGAAGGCAGAACAACAGAGGAGAACGTGGAAACCCTTTGCAGTGGGGGACCTAGTAAAGTGTAGAGAACGAAAAAGTAACATAGCAGGGGGAGCAGGGTCGGGGAAGCTGACCCCAAAATGGGAAGGACCGTATGTTATCACGGAGAGACGCGGCTCGGTCTACACGATCCGGAGAGAAGACAAGCAGAAGCGCGTAAATGCTAGTCAACTACAGAGATGGTTTCAAGATCATCATGGGTGTGAATCACGAAAAGCACCAAAGAACACAGCGGTACGGAGATCAGAAAGACTACGACAGCAACTTGTTAAAAGGGGGGACGAGTGTGGTGCGTGCTACTTATATTGATATAAGTAGTATATAACGTGAGTCAAAAGAACGCAATGTCTGGCAGCAGAAGATGGAGAAGATCAAGAAAAGAAGAGCGAGAAAACAATGGACTTTGTAAGAAATCGCATGAACAATGAAATGCGAGACAATGGATATGATAGAATGACATTTTGCAAATTAACGATTTACTATGTGGTTTTTCTATTTTACCAAGTAATTCTGTAATTTGCCCTAAATACAATTTGGCTGTCCCACCCGTGTTCTTCTTCACTACAGTATTAATTGTATATTACTTCCAGTTATATTTTATCTTAACAGTTTCTAACGAATGAATCACTTTATCATCCCCCATACACACGTAATAAGGTTCACCATCGATGACCATTCGTATATTAGACGCAATCATCTGGTAGATTGATCGATTCTTTAATTTACCACTTTTTAACTGAGTTGAATTTCCTTTTGGAGAACCACCATCACTCAGTTCTTATCTCGGGAAATATATGCTATGCTCAATAGTGGTACAATATGATGGATGCGCTTCAGTAAAAAAACACCGACGAAGAATATTGAGTGGCTCCTCAGCGTAACCATGCTTTTAACGATTTGAAAGTAATGCTTGGCCTGAATATACAACGACGTCCTAGGAAATAATTTTAATCACTCATGGAAGGGAATTGATAATCATTGGAAAGCTTGAAAGGGTTTTCAGCCAGAGAGAATTCCAGTACACCATAGTATTATTATTAGCCTTATTCAATATTATATTTTTCGTACAATATAGAATTCTCAGCACAAAGTATTTCAACAAGTTTCCATTTCTTACTTCTTGGTCGATCTTGATGATAAATATTGAGTGGTCGCCAGTTAGAAGTTAGCAGTCCAGTAGATCGACATCTAAATAATGTACATTCTCTTCGCTGCATATTGCCAGCAACCACGATATCTTTGATTGGGCCTTTTGTAACTTTTACAACGAAAGTTTGTATACTTTTCAGAAAGGCACCTGAATAGGTTATGCGATTAATAGACATAATGATGCTTTAAAACAAACAAAAATAGATAACTTGTTGAGATATCTAGATGGCAGGTACAGGTAGCCTAGATGTTCAAGCAGACCGCCAAGGTCCGGCTCGGCGAACAGATAGTGTTGGATAGCAGTTTAGTTCATTCAGGAAGAATAAATCCAAACGTTTGGAATGATGAACCACAAAGAAGAGTATTGTATACGTTTCAAATTTTCATCATTTGTTTCAAATAAATTGAGCATTAGGTAGAGAATTAATAATACACATATTTTTGTAGTATTCCAATAAGTAGAAAATTGTATTTCTGACGTTTCGTGACTTAATGTAAGTCACTTTTTCAGAGTAAATATAAAAATGAAGAAATGATGTACATTAAGTCACGAAACGTCAGAAATACAATTTTCTGTTCATTTTTTGTGTTATTCTTATGATCGGGTGTTCAAACAAATGGATTCTACGGACAAAATAACCAAACTGATTTAAAGTCGCCACTTAAGCATGCATTTCATGTTCATATTCATATTATAAAACGGTAAATGCATAAGATTTGTCACGTTTTTCACGCATTAAGCTTGACAATTAGTTGCTCGATCAAGTGTACATTCTAGACATAATTATGTCAAGAATGTCAGTTGTTTCATTGTAAATATTGAAGTGAATTATTCAATTCAATGGTTGAATTTCTGTTGAAATGGTACGCTGGAGATCAATCTGCTTAATCACATACATCTCACATTTATGATCCATTTAAATCAAACGCCGGATGAAGATTGTGTTGTAACTCAAATATTCGCGGAAGAAGACAGTATAGGCATGAAATCCAAACACATTTCCCAGGAGCTGTTAATGACAATATTAGGTAAACAGAAATTAGCTTTCATTCTCAAACGTCACCGCCATCAGCTGGGAAGAGCTAAAAGGAAATGTCGTCGATCTGAATCCACATTCAAGTAGAGTAAATACTCTTTGAAGGACGGGAAATGATGTACCCCTATATCAGCTTACAAACTCAGATAACATTCTGTCGCAAGGGATATAATGGGCGCACAATACAAGTGTGAATGGGCTATGTGAAACACCTTTTAGTCTTGACTACTTCGACGTACTTGTATAGCAGATAAGGTACTCAGTTTCATATGCAGTGTGGTCACTTATCCAGCTTAAGAAATCCCTAACATCGTCACTCAGAGGTCAAATGAATTATTAAGAATGTGATTACTAAATGGGTCTCAATCAACCTCTGAACTGTTATCCACTCTCTCTCACTAGCGGATACAAATATCATTCGCGATGCCGGATGTTATTTTTAAAAACTCAACCTCGCAGACACTTAATTGTAAGCAAAAGTTTCCCCAGCGTACCAACACTCACTATAAACATATATCGCGGTCTGTTTTAATATAACTCCAATCTTAGAACGGCCGATGGGCACTATACTATCTCATACTCTAAGAGTAGCCGCCTACCTAAGCAATGTTTAATTTCTGCTAAATCACCAATATGCCTTTGAATTCAAACCAAAATAGTCCAATTCACATCTCAGGACGATTTCGATATTTCCATGAAAAGTAAACATACGTAATACAGGTCTCAACTGTTCCAGTCAACCAAAAAGCACTACTCTATCAATCAACTTGTCATCTTTAGTACTCCGGATCTAACCACAATATTGTTTACTCAGTGGCCCTAACACACACAAGTAATACTTCCAAGACACATGATTAAAAGCTTGCAGCCTATAGACGTCCCTTATTCTCGAAGATCAGGTTTCACGACCACAGTGTGATAAATATCGAATCTCTGCCCATTACATTTCCCATTTGATCACTAAATGGACATCACATCTACACCATAAGTTGGCAAAAGCGAAGCAGGCATTCTGAATCCGTGCGCACATTTCGTTAGATAAACCAACCCAACAGGACTGTCAAGATAACTGAAGTGATCGGTGAGCTCAATCATTCAATCTATATGGTCACTAAAAGAGCGCCGCAAAAATTCTTGTATTACTAAACAAAGCATTTAGTAAACCGTAATTTGTCACCATGTTTACCAAACAAGACAGTCAGTTGAGTAATTCATGCCAATAAGTGAGGTTCCAAGACGATCTATCCCTGTAAAGTTATGTGACGAGTGTGATTTCTTAAAGGGTATCTATGACGAAACACTAAAAATTTAAGAGTAAGAAGAATCGACAAAAACCACTTGATGTTTAACAATTCTGATGACAGATCCTCATAAGTTCTGGCTTGACTAATAGTTTTCAAGCAAAGACTCTGCAAAATTTATGTACCGTATTACTTAGATCAGTGCAAAGAAAATGACATTAAACATTAATTTTAAACTCACTACAGTATCCAAAGCAGTTGGACGCCATTTGGTCTTCGGACGCTTAATAACTTCTACGATTTGGCCATAGCGATTCTGGTTGAAAAATTAAAAAAACAAAC